TTTTAATTGCTTTATGAAAATTAGTTAGAAAGGTGAAACCATCTTATTACAGTACCTTGGTAAGTTTAACTATTGCTGTTTTCAATTTCAATTTAGAATAACATATTGTAGAGTAATACAAATACATGGGTATTTTAATGTTAATTAACGTGCACATTTTAATGCTTTAAATGTAATAATCCACGAAATGTCATCGTTGTCATTCAAGATCATGGCTAACTCTTTGCTTTATCCATCGATTAATGATTATCAATATATTCACACAGCTATTTTACACACACAGAACATTATTACATACAGACAGTAACACAGTTACAGTTACGGTACAGGTACAATTATTTTTTATCAATATACTCTATCAATATATTTTATCAATATTTATCAGCTATACTACCAAGTTTGAGCTGTAATTTAAAATGCAGTACACTCGCATATGCGGTGAGAATTTTTTTTTGTCCTAGGACGCTAGGCACGAGCCCGAGATTTTTTTTCTCATTGCTTCAGGTGAATTGGCGTAATTTGTAACCGGGACCTCTAGAACCGAAGTTCCGCGCTCCAACCACTATAAATTATGTGATTGGAATTGCTTCCATTTGTTTTGATTTTCTGTTTATAGTGCATTTTTTTGTCACCATGCTGGCAACCCATAAGGTCCATGTTTTTTTATTTTATTTTAAGTTTTTTGTGTGCATATTTTTTGAGTTTATTATAACTAATTAAAGGATTCTGCATATCTACTCTACAGGAAAAATATCTTCCCAACACTATGCGTATATTTTCCCTGCGATGCACACGAGCTGAGAAAAAAGTTTTAAAGAAAAATGCTTGCTTAATGTATAGATAGAGCGAACGTTTAATGAAACCCACGAACGCTTTGATGACGTGGGTCATATAAGGTAATTGTCACTTGAATCATCAACGGATGTACATAGCCTGTTAACTGATGCATTGCACAATGACATATCAATTGTTTTAAAAACAAGACATTGAATCATATTTTTAATCATATAAAATTTTGTATATTTTGTAGGCAAAGACTAGTTATTGAAAGAAAATAGTTAGTACTTGAATTTACCATACTACTAATTTCCCCCATTAACTTTATAATTTTAAATACTCTATTAATTAAATTGGTAACTTATTCAAATTAATTCAGAATAGAGTTCAAAACTTAAATCTAATGTACGATACTGATTGTGGTTAATCATTCGACTGAAATAAGCCTTCAGGTTATTTTTAAAGGAAACTCATATAAGTTTTAATATTCTAAGTCAAGTTACCGGCCTATCTTAATTCTTGATAAACACCATATAAATACTAGAAAAAATTACTTAAGGCCCTTCACGAGCGTCGCGAGGACTTTTGAGTTGACGCATCCCGCATGACAGAAAACGTGAATTTTGCAGTACAGTAATAGTAGTAGCAAGGCTTCTTCCATAGACCTGTACTGCACGGTGAACGTGGAATTGAATAGACCAGCTCGCTCCCAAGGTACGTTATTATCGTAATAATTGCGAATGCAGAATAAGTCAAACACAAACAAAATTATAAAAACATAGGGTTAAGTCACAAATCGTTAACTTGATTGTCATTTATTAATTCTTCTAATTCAACAATTGAACTGCTGAATCCTGCATGCCAAAATACCTCACAAATAAAAAAATAACTCTAAATATATTACCAAGATACGGTAAAAGGGTTTTAATCAAACATTTCTTAATAGATATTAAATGTATATTACAACATACTAATACTGATTGATAACACTGTTTTGGTGCGATAAAGCTATTTTAATCTGTTTATGTTATGGAAACATTATCACGTTAAGTAGTGTGGAATGGCTCAGATAAAAGCTATTCAGGTGGTCATAACACAACTCATACATCCAAGTTATGACTTTATAAAGCATAACAATCCCATAAAACTCGCAAGACAATATTTATATGCATAACACAGGAGTCGGGCCTTTATTTACATCCTGCTATTAATGTTTGCAGCCACAAAAATAAGAAGAACGAATTTAAAAAGCTATTGTTATTATATTGATTGTTGATTGTTGATTGTTGATTGACATTGTTTGATTATTATTTCTCTATTATTGTATGTAATTGAAATTATAAGGTTTGATCATTGATAAGGATTTTAGTAAAGGAAAAATGTTATATTTTGCATTATTATAAGAACTTCTCCTTTTTATTGTTACCTACAATGGCGGACACAGTTTTCAACTCAAGACGTTACGTATTTCGAACATAGATAAATAACACGAATATTTGAACAGAACCGGTATGGATCATAAACATGAACAAATGACGTTGCTGACCCAAAAATAAACAGTATTTAACATGACTTAAAGTAAACTAGTGTACATGTTGCTCGAAATCGAGCAATTGCAAAGAGGTACAGGAGTTATCTTCATGCGTAGGCTTTCGCGGCCGTTGTCATTGAAATCCATGGTGATGGTTTTCGGCGTCAACCGCGTCGTCAGTTGTATTTCACTGCCAGACGTTTCGCCCTTATAACTGCTTTTCATAATTTTATATAATTATGAATTTCCCTTATAATTTCGCTTTCATAACTGCAAACTCAAAATACACCCACAAGTAAAAAAGAATCAAGTTATTGGTTGTGTAACCTATTTTTGTGTAACAGCATTATTCTCATGAAGTAGATGATTTGTTTGATTTGTCGATCATCTGTTTTGTTTCAAATGAATTAATAATGTCAAAGATTTGTGATTTTAAATACATAAATTATTATAGTAAAGTTTTCTAAATCGTGGTAACTTAATCTCAACTAAATTTTACTATTCCCGGAATTAAAATAAAGTAGTAAGATCCATTATGAGTAAACTGTAAGGTATACAATCCTTGATTGAAATGTAGTATACATTAACAGTCATAATACACAGCAATCAGTAATTATTATGTAGTAGACTTTGACTATGTTCAAGCAACAAACATATGTTTCTGTAAATAAAAATTATCTCCCATGTTATCCTTATGGAGAAATACGAAATACGGAGAAATACGAGGGAAATAATTAGAGAGTGAGGGCCCCAGGGCCTCACTCTCTAATTATTTCCCTAAAAAGAAAGTTTCCTGCACAACTTCACGTTACGCTCTTTCCAATGACACCAAAAACATGTCAATCGGTTCAGTAGTTTCGGAGGAGTAATTGTCACAAAAATCGTGCTTGCGTATTAAATAAGTATAGATGGTCGGAACCAAATGTAATTGCTATTAGTATAGAATTCGGGCCAGCAACGCCACTTGTTTTATGTTTATGATACATACCGTTTCTGTTTAAGTATTCGTGATAAATACCAATTTCGATTAATCCCGTTCTCTAATTCTTAGAAACTTTACTGATCATTGGTCGATATAAGGGGATTGCATAATGGCTGTAAACACTTTAAAAACTATTACTACATCGTTATATTATCATTTTATCCACTTTCTTCTTCTATAATGATTTATTGTACTACCAGTTTTTTGGGGTGAGGTTTGACCGTTAAACCTAACTTTGTCTGAAGAAAAGTATATTGGATTCTTTGGACATTAAATTTAAATTTAATTTAGACAAATCAATGTTGGTATATTTTAAGAATTTCTCTTATGTTATACTTAATCCTAATTGCATGTGTATAATGATCCTATTTGTAAATTAAAATGTCAAATTCATGCAACCAGTTATATATTGTGAACTTTTTTTATGTTATAACATTATTAATGTTTATAAATTTTATTGAACACATTTACATAAAGTAATTAAAAGAATGCAATAGTTTTAGGTGGAACAATTCTACTTCAAATTCAATAAAATATCATAAATGCTCCCAATTTATTTTCCACTCCAATAGTATTTAATTTAGAACCAAGATCACCAATAAAATGGCCATTATTTAGTTTTTATTGGCACTGACTGTCATCGTTGAAGTCCTTTGGGCCAGTTGATAAAGCGATTTAACCAGACCTATTCTGCCACCATTGTATTTCATGACCTGGTTAAGTGTTGGAGGGGAAATATTTCTAAACAGCGTTGTTACTAGTGACTACTCTAAATCCAAAATAAGCGTCAACTATTATCAACCTTCAGCATTGTCTCTTTAGACTGAGAGCATTCAATATAAAACACAATATGGCAAGTTCAACCATCGAAAGGAATTTATTTCATTAAGTGTCATTTATAAATTTAGAAAAATCAGAAATTTTGAAAAATCAACTTTTTGACTTTCTTAAAACTCAGCAAAACGATATTATACCTTAAAATATTATTTAATCGCAAAACTAGTTATCACGATTTATTTTGACATTAATAAACACCACACAACTGAACTAAGGTAATCCAAACTGCAAACCAACCTATCACAACTCAAATCTAAGAGAACGAGCTAAACCTAGTTCATTGCAAACCATAGTCTTTAAATATTCGAGCATATTCAAACAAACACTGAAATTGCAAACGTTTCACCTCTCTATGAAATATCAACACAAATATTTCTGCTATCGTTTAGTATTGGTTGAGGGGTATTATTTAATCAAGATGTTTCATAAAAAAAAAATATCTGTGAAAAATGCATATTACGTTGTTTTGGCATACATTCAAATTGTTGATATTAATTTAATTTTGATACTAACTAAACTGTTTTCAATTGTTGAACCACCGTGCATATTTAGTTCAAGTTCACCTTATTTAGTACCTTACCTAAGTATTGCTACTGAAAGTTCACTGCTAGCCATAACTAATTCATCTGACTTTGCAGTTGTTAATACTACCATAGAATAAATAACTTCATCTATGATATTGCGTTGAATCTTGGATGTTATGGGTTTATGAAATAGAAAATATACATGAACAAAATGAGTTTAATCGTTATGTGTTGATGAAACATATTATGTTACATGCTCATCGTGTACGGTCATTCAAGTTATTATAGTTACTGTTCTACATGTTCAATTGTACCTAACATGTGATATATTTATGTTATCCTTTTCCAGATATGATCCAGGACTGTTCCCTGCGCCAGTTTAAGTGTAACAACACTAAGTGCGTGCAATTAACATGGATGTGTGATGGAGAAGACGATTGCGGAGATAACTCGGATGAAGATCACATGGAATGCAAAGGTAAATCGACATTATATTTTTTTATATGCACCATACTGCAACATAGAGAGTATTGCTCTCTTTAGTTGTGACACAACAATATTTCTTGATAGCGGTCGTTCAAAATCATGACCTTCGGAAAGGCTTGTCTCAACAAAATTAATTGTAAACATAACAAAAATTCTGCATGGTAAATAATCACTTAATTGCTAAAGGTACGTTTTGTGGTAGTAAAATATCCAACGATAATATTGAGTTATTTTCCACTTTAAAAAAATCAGTCTCCTTGCACCGTTATAGCCACTTTGATTCTTGAATGTTATGTGCTATACAACCTTTCTAATTTAAAGTCTAAGGTTTCTCAAAGTTCAAAAATCAACCATAAAAGCATAACAAATTTAACTAAGCAAAGCAACAAACTAAACAAATTCAACTGATTAATATGGCTATGTTATTTTTTACGTGCAAACATAAAACAAAGAAATGGTTAACTAACAATGCTCCGAGGGAAGAAGTTTAAATTTTTGCCTTATAACACTAAAGATGTACTTGAAACGGGTGGGTAGGCGGGGGGGGGGCAGCTTGGTGACTTTACTAATATTATATCTATAAACTAATTAATGATAAGTTAAAAATTGCAGTAAAATAGATTGCGTATCTTTGTTGTCGTTATTTTAGGTTTGTCCATACAAGGGTAAAGTTTTGCGTGAAAAAAATATTCTTTAAATTTTCCCTAAGAAAAAAAAGAATACCAATACCAATACACGAGTAATTCAAATTAAAACCAATAAAACTGTTTTTATCGGAATTCAAAAATATTTCAAGTTCATATTTTAAAATGTAGTCATGACTGTCTAAAATATTAGCTTTATTTGAATAAAATATACCAAAAGTGTGAAATACATGCAATAAGTTAGAAAATCGTCAGTGTTTCTAATCTGAAGGGGGATGTATTATGTGAGGAGATCAAAAATATGAAAATAAATTTTCCAGTATGATTTAATAACACCTTTCAACTATTAAAATTTACAACAAATTATATATGAAAAAATATTAAATCTAATGCGATTACATGTATGTTATCAGTGGTTATACTCAAACTTTGCAAAACTCACATTGATTTTTAAACCAACTATACCAACGTTTGAATGCAAAATAAAACTAGACAAAACAGATGTTAAAGCATAAATCTGATAACACTGTGACAATGGCATGTAACATGTTGAGCTGTTATCTTATCAGCGTTCAACAGAGGGGCTGGCGTTGTCCCAGTGACGAATGAGGTGGACAAAACCCCACGAGATTCGGACCCCTTATCAATGCCTTTGTCCACGGTTTGGTTTTCTGTTTTTTTTTGTTTTTTGTTTTTACCAGAAATATACAGAAAGAAAATATCCAATACAAAAATTTTGTATTAAAAGCGATTGTTTCTCTTGTATCAAGTAAGTATAAATATGATATACGGTCATATACATAGGGGTATATACATAAGAAGGGGTCAAATGCATTGATTTCGATGTAGCATTTACCTGGTTAGATGAGCCTACCTGTGTAACGTGTTCGGGAAAGCAAGGGACCAACCGGTAGCCGTTATAGTGCCGAATTAACTGATAATTTTTACTGGTGGCGCTGAAATGTGAGCCCACTGCCACTACATAGCTGCCTCGAATTCGTTGCGAGTCATGTAACCGACTAAACTCTTTGTCTATGTCCATAAAAGTAATAATATTGTAACCAAATATGCTAACCTGGGACAATAAACAACCAAATTACAATGCATACATGATATCCATAGTGGCAAAAGTGTGGATACTACCTATGGCATTTCCCTTGTCATTATTTACAATGTTATTTGTTATCAAAAGTAATTTAAAAATAAATCTAACTTGTTAACAATAATTGTTCTATTGTGCCAGTAAATATTGTAATCTTTTAAATGTTTTGTAAGTCGAAAATTTTAGTTTACTTAGTACGTAACCTATAATGCCAGGGAAGAGCTAGAGACATTACCAAAAGGATTAGATCCTATTTCGTATTGCCTGAGCTTGCAAAGCTATAATCTGTCATTTACTTATTAACTCATAGTATAATAATATAATGTCAAAATAATGACATGATAATTAAAAAAAGTTTGACTTTAGTCGAGGTCTTTATGAGAAAAACAACGCATTGTTTGTTAAATTAGTGAGTTCAATCCATGCAATACTTAATTAAGTACTTCTCTATAATGTAATGGACTAGCAAAGTCCAATTAATTAACTATAATTAACTTTGAAACACATTAAATCGTGTTAGGTCAAGTCAATTACCTGTGATGGTCCTCATTTATTGTTATTGTCGAGTGACAGAGTTCGTTATTGCTTGTTAATTACTTTGCATTGTGCTATAGTTTACTGAATAGTTTACACTCCAATGTAGTTGGCAAAGTCCAAAATATTGCAATGAACTTAACAAAAAACTTGGATTAATATTTGCTTTAACATATATGACCATGTATATTATTTTTCGTTAAGTGGTCGTTTTCAAAAAACCTAACCTTGCAATGTGCTTAAAGTTTTGTATATTAACAATTTCTATACCTTAATTTAACGATTTCTATAATCGCAGTCTAATGTTGTCTTTTAATTGCATTAAGTTTCACGTTTTCGTGATGCTACCTATCCAAAGCTTATGAGGTTTAGTAATCAATATTTAGGTAACATTTGATAATACAACTCTTAAGGTGAATACTAACTATGAAAGTAACTATTACTTTCTCATAGTTTCAAAAGGGCTTATCCAAGCCAAAATTAAATTTACTGGGAATACTTTACTTTTTTGGGGGTGTAAAATTATTGGTTTCTGCATGTCCCGTAAGCATGTTTGTGACACCCTGTATAATAAAACAAAGACGTCGAAATTCCACTTCCCCCACAACTCAATTAAATGCAGATCTGAACCAACAAAACAGTCCACTTTTGAGAAGCCACTTATCAATACAGAAAAAAAATTATTTTATATACCTATAAATTAGTTGACTACTATCAATCACTCAAAAATACAAGATAATTTATGATGATTGCTTTTATTTTAATCTCACAGAAACCTTGTACAAGCTCAGTTCATCGAGCCTGTTAATGATTGATCGTTTTATAAATGTATTGTCAAGAACGATTCTTTCACTGATGTGCGTGTGTCAGGAGATTTGTTCGACGTCGATTAATGTTCTTCCGTTATCGAGTGTGTTTGCATCCTGTCAGTAAAGATTAGAGGTTGTTTTTGATCTTCACCGTATATTTGGTGCGTCTCTATCTTATTCAGCTTCCCGTTGTGGAATATAAAATAAATTTAGCATGTAAAATGAATTTTCATATGCACGTTTTAAAGCCTAATTGATATTTCTAATAATTTAGTTCATTAAAAGTCACGGGTATTTTTGTATAAGCTTTTTCGTATTCCAAGGTTGACACAATTTGTTTAGTTAATGGCTTTATCATATTCAGTTCTTTGTTTATGTATCGTGAACGCTCGACTTAAGTGATGCTGGAGATGAAAGTGACGAATATGGAGATATTTAATATTCCTGATTTGTGAAAAAGATCCCAGTTTTTTTTTATTACATTTTACAACAAATAAAATATTAAGTGTTTAATATAGGATTGGTTAACGTCTTATTTTAAAATGATGTATGATTGAATCACAAAAATAGAGCCATTGAAAAGTAAAATAGTCTTTCTCATGAACAAAGTTATAAATTCTGCTTAACTAAATGCTACAAATATATCTATAATTTAGCCATTTAACTCTTAAAGATCGCATTGACAGAACTATCAAGGTATGAAAAGCTGAAAGAGCAGAACAACAAGTATACATTTCATAACTAACAAAGTCAACCTTTTCTCCTTAAAATCTTGCTTAAGGTAGTTCATCGCAATTTGAACACACATTTTTCTATAAGATGTTAAAGTTGATAAGAACACACACATAAAATGAAATATCTTAGTTTTTAGCAAATTTAAAGTAAAATGTACACTGCCTACTACAACATACAGTTGTTATTTACAGTTTCCTAATTTGCCGGATACACCTCAATAAATGGAAGGAGTGCAATAGATGATAGAAGCCTTCGTTCAATGCAATCTATATTAAGTGTAGGGTAATGCTTCACCATCCAATTAAGTTAATTACCTGCAATTAACCTTGAACTATTCTAGTAGTTTGAGCTAAAACCGTAATTGGAACAGCCAGGTCAATTGTGATGAGACCTGTTTATTGATATATTTGTGCTGCAACAATTATGTCTACCTAATTAGGTCAAATGCAAAACACTTCATTCGATTATTATTGAACTACCTCTTATGCAGTGTAATGTTCTATCACAGTTTGATCAAGTTAATTAGGTATAATTACCATCGTAAAACCTTTGATCATTTGATCAATTGTCGTCCAAATAGAACGACAATTCAATTACTTTTTATGAACCTCATTAATTGTCATCATTGTGATGCAGAGCTCTAATATAAATCCTTGTTTGCTAACCGGTGGAACAAATTAAATAAAAGCTGCAAATAGATTTTTTTGTCCCTGACTTACTCACTCCTACTTTGTATGTTTAGTTATGCCCACATGTTTAAGGCCGAATGAGGACCATCGATGTATAATAACTCTACATTATATCATAGTTATTATACATCGATGATGAGGACAAGGTTGAAAGTGGCCAGTAAACTTCATAGAAATATAGTTTTCGAGCCGTCTAGTTTAGTAACCAGATAAGTCCACATTTATTTTCAAAATTTAGATAAAGTTGTTCTCTAGTAGGGAAACTGTGGTCTATAACCAGACAATAATTTTTATTTTCAAAATTAAATACATCCCATAGCTATTTCAACCAATATCTCAAGTTAGGTTTAAAACCGGATCGATTATATTGCATAGTTTGTAAAGCATATACTCAAACGCTCATACTTATTTTTAAAAGCAGATAGATTCAAAAAATTTTATTCAAAAACGTAGATTCAAAAACATAGATTCAAAAGCTG